CTGAGAATCGTACTTTGAGTGAGTTTGATAGAACGGGACATGCTTTAATAGACCGATTCATTTTGGCACTCAAGTGACGTCCAGTGCTGGCTTGTTAGTGGGAGGAGAGGCTTACTTTGCTCTGAAACCCAGCTCTCTAGAAAGTCCTCTAGGTTTTATTCACATTGGCGAAATTTTGGCATTCTCGAAACGTTTTGATACGTATCGATAGGAGAGTCGGCGAAATGAGCGGGTCAATCTGACGAAACCGTGAAAAGGGCTATATATTAACGATTTCGCTGACTTCGTCCAAGTGTGGAGTGTGAGAGCAGACGAAAAGTCCCCTTCGACCGCTCGCTCCGGCAATTCTCCCGCTCGATACGTATCTAACCCGTTTTGCGGAGGCGTTTCTTTCGCCGATTCCGTAAAGTCACAGACTGCTACCAATGTTTTACCAGCAAATGTCAAATGTGGCGAGCTGGTGTTGGAGATCTCTCATCTCGGAGTTAGGTGACGTGAAGGGAGAATGAAAAAGCGTTGTGACATTCCCAGCATCATACTGTTACATCATTTCCATTAGGCCTTTTCGGAACGTACACCTACTGCAGAAAGAGAAGAGCCTAGGACTGCTATTTTCCGATATGAGGGGTTTGAAATATACTGCTGTTTACGTTTCCAGGGTTGTCCGATGAAGCAGTAGCACTTTGCGACCGTGTTTGGAACAGACGGCTTCCACAAACGGAAGAGTTCAGTGAAGGATTCGGGATCAAGGTACAGCTAGCTTCCTAATTCAGAGAGGAGATGAGTAGTGGAGTGGTTCCATGCTGTTTCGCTTCTACCGCTTTCGTTTCCCGGTAATGCACATGGCTTCTCTTCCAGCTCACCCGAAAAGACCTCTCTACTCTTTGCGGATTGGACTGGCTGAACGATGAAGTAATAAATTTCTATCTACAGTTGGTCTGCCAACGGAGTAACGAAACAAAAGGACTCCCTAAGGTAATGCACCCGACATGCGGCAAAAACCTTTTGTTGTTTGGAATTTTTTTCAAGAGGAGGAAGTTCTGCAAGTTATTCGCAGCATTCCCACAGGGCTAAATTGCTTTGAGGCGAAGGTGGTTTAGTGACAGGTGGCACGCTTAATACGCGTGTCGTCCCGGGGTCAGATCATTGACTTGCTCCCCACCCAGGCCAACCAACCTTTCTGCCCTCCGGGACGATCATTTGGTACCAGATAAGTCTGGGAGAATAGGAACATCGACCTCTACATCGGCTGGCCCCCGCAAGTCATTGTATAGGCAATATGGCATCCAGCAAGCCTCTATGAATCTGAGTGAAAGTGGAGTACGTGATGCATTCCAAGAATGAACTGATCGGGGGCGCAAGCATCCCTTGTCCTTTGAGTCCCTCATTTTAAACCATTTTCTGCTTTGGCCTTGGTAATTTGAAGTTTTTTTTTGTATGTACCAAATACTACGCAATACATTTTAAGGCATACGCATTCAATACGTTCTTCTATGTGAATATTTCTACGAAAGGTTACGCATCTGTGAAAAGATGGACGCGCAAGGTGGACATTTTCGCGCATGATCTGCTACTTGTCCCTATACATCTAAATGTTCACTGGTGTATGGCGGTCAGTTGGTTAAAAGGCTATTATTGAAATTTGCAAAGTGCAGGTACTGTTTGCAGGTTATTGATCTGGCTGAGAAGCGCATTGACTACTATGACTCGTTATGCGGAAGAAATCCAAAGTGTTTGGAATATCTGAAGTGAGTGCTAGCTTTTTCCAGCTGATATTATTTATGCACATCATTTTTATACAGGCGATATCTGGTGGAAGAGAGCAATGACAAGAAAAAGCAGAACTTCAGTTTTGATGGATGGGATTTCAATATGCGTTCGGTGAGTGTTTATTAAAATCTCTGTAGAAATTCGACTTTGCCAATAGGGTTGTAGGCATTAGAGGAAGCACTTTCTAAAGGAATTCAGTGAAATCCTTTATAGAATTGGTTATCAGTCATTCACCGTGTAATCAATCATTTTGGAATTTGCGTGCAAAACTAAATAACCCATCTTATTATGTTAAATTTCGATGACACTTCAAGGAGTAACAGTTAAGAATCGAGTTTTGGTCTCCTATAAGTCCCGCACGTATGGCAAAAGAGGCTACAAAAAAGTTGGCATTGTTTGCACCTCGCCTTTCACACGTGCTGCACTACAAACGGCTCCCGAAACCATGTGATTCGGTCACGTCGTCTTTTTGATTTTTAATTCTGACTGAACACTTCTGACGTGTCGTATTGAAAGTATATATATTCTATTCTATTCTAATTGACTCAGAACTGAGCAAAAGGGCAAATAAGTCGTGTGCAACTTCCCAAGTGGGATTTACAATCTCGGTTCCGTACGATAGTAGAATCGGAATCAGAGCTATCCGAGAGGCGGCTTCCGGATCGGCTCCCGCTTAAAGACACGTGGTACGATCACACATAGCTTGGGTGTGCGTGACTGCCCCCCCCCCCCTGCTGTTGAAGTGTAGCGGTTTCCCCGTTCTAACAAGCGCAGCAGCAGTAATACAGATACAGTAGGTAATTGCGCTCCGGAAAACAAGTAAAACGCACTTTCCTGATGAGGGTAACATTAGAGGTGGAGGAATTAGCGTGTTTCACGGTCCTGTACCTCATTAACTGCGCATAGGAGACGCGTTCAGACTTTCGCGAATTCGCCGTGATCGCTTAATTCGCGCGATCCATCGCGCTACTGTGGGTGAAATTACACCGGGAGGGGGTCATGTTCGTTCATGTTTATTGTTCCTGTTCTTTTTTTCCTTTTCCTTCTTTCTTCCTTTGTGTACATAACGCCCTCCTAATTTTAAGGAACGTTTCGAAATATCTTTGAGTTATTTATTATTTCCTATGTAAAATAGTACTAAATATACAATATGCTAATTATACTGAATTTTGCATCTGAGTACGTTCAAGCGGAGTATTGAACATCTTGTTCCAAAAGTAAGACACGCAGAACTTTCAACAGCGGGTGATGTTGTTTCTCTCCCTTCCCCCGATTTTGCCAGTCCTCCAGATATTCACTTTACTTTTGTCACATTGTTTTGCTTTGTTTGTTCTGCCATCCTCCAGGTCTATACACAACCTTTCCTTTCGACGGTTTCTGCAAATCGTCAGTATTGCGAATATGACGGCCTAAAAGACATCAAAAAGGTCGAACTACTTTTATATCGTTTTTGGAACTGCCTATTGGAGGCAGGATACAGCATCGTGATGTGAGAAATGGTGATATCAGTACGACTCCCTTCCCAGAACTTTGTTGTTGTTGTTTGTTGAGTTGAGTTGAACATGAACGAACATGACCCCCTCCCGGTGAAGCCGCTACGCTTCGACACGTGGGGATCTGATAGTCACGCACACCCGAACTATGTGTGGTCGCAAAATCTGTCTTTAAGTCAACAAAGCCTCCTATCCTCCAGCGACAAATTGTCAGGCCGCGTTCATAGCTTGTTCATACCATGAAGAAATGCAGAAATGAAGAAATGCAGAATCTGCGGAAATGACGAAAAGCATTATATACATATCTATTTGAAGAAATCGCCAGAAATGGCGGAAACTGCAGAAGTGCAGAAAGTGCAGAAATGACGAAAAGTATGACATGCCTATCGATTTGAGGAAATGCAGACATGCCGAAACTGCAGAAGTGCGGAATCGGCAAAATGCCGAAATGATGCAGAAATGCGGAAATTGAAGAGGTGCGGAAAGTGCAGAAATGCGGAATCTGCAGAAATGGCAGATTCCGCAAAAGCAACCGATACGTATCGATCTGAAGAAATGCAGAAGTGCCAAAATGCGGGAAATCGATACGTATGTAATGCTTTTCGTCATTTCTGACAATCTTCCACTCTTGCGAGTTTCAGCATTACTGCATTTCTTCAAATCGAATCACCCCATATATATAATTCGCTTCGTCTGTTTGTTTGTAAGTTTGTTTGTAAGTTTGTTTGTAAGTTTGTAAGTTTGTTTGTAAGTTTGTTTGTCTGTCCGGAAATTCGGTTCGACCTGAAGAACGACTTGGAGAGGTCGGGTCAAGGTGGGGATGGGTAGAGCATGGGACAAGAAATAAAAAGCACACTTGACCTATGCGAAGCCCCGCCCACTGTGGGCGGGGCACTCACTGAAATTTTGGGGTTTCACAGAAAAATGTTCATAATTCGCTTCCGGAGCAGCCTAAGATGGTGAAACAAGGGAATAAGGTTAGTAAGGAGTCGCCAGACTAACTGTGGCAGACACATCCAAAATGGGCGGCGGGCGTACTCAAGGTGGGCGGTGCTTCGCATAAAACTCAGTAACTCGGTTCGCGAGAGTGTTCAGAAGCCGCAAAAAGCTCAGTGCAGAATGTAAATATCTGGCGAGTATTGGGCATGCCCAAAGTGTGTTGAGATCCGCCCACAGTGGGCGGAGCTTGCCCTAAACCGCAGGATACTCACTTTAAAAGTTTGTAGCTCGGTTCCAGAGCACTGCAAAGACCGGAAAAACGTGCGTCAAGGTCGGCAAAGGTTCGCCGGTGAGGACTGTGGGGCAAAAACATTGTGGGCGGAGCCTGCTCCGAGGTGGGCGGAGCCAGACAAAAACTCTGCAGAACGGTTCCAGAACACATCAGACACCGGAAAAAAGTGGATTAAGGTCAGCAGGGGCCGGTGAGGACCGTGGGGCAAAAACATTGTGGGCGGAGCCTGCTCCGAGGTGGGCGGAGCCAGACAAAAAGGTCTGTAAAACGGTTCCAGAGCACTCCCGAAGACCGGAAAAAAACTTGAATTAAGGTCAGCAGAGGGTCGCCGGTGAGGATTGTGGGGCACGAAAATTGGGGGCGGGGCCAGCCCGAGGTGGGCGGAGCCAGACAAAAATTCTCCAAAACTCTCCCAGAGCACTCCGAAGACCGGAAAAAAGTGGATTAAGGTCAGCAGAGGGTCGAAGGTGAGGACCGTGGGGCAAAAACGTTGTGGGCGGAGCCTGCTTCGAGGTGGGCGGAGCCAGACAAAAGGTCTGTAAAACGGTTCAAGAGCACTCCGAAGACCGGAATTAAGTGAATTCAGGTCAGCAAGGGGTCGCCGATTAAGAAATGTGGGGTATAAACAGTGTGTGGGCGGAGCCAGCCCGAGGTGGGCGGAGCCAAACAAAAATTCTCCAAAACTCTCCCAGAGCACTCCGAAGACCGGAAAAAAGTGGATCAAGGTCAGCAGAGGGTCGCCAATGATTGTGGGCACAAAAATTGGGGCGGAGCCTGTTTCGAGGTGGGCGGAGCCAGACAAAAACTCTGCAGAACGGTTCCAGAACACATCAGACACCGGAAAAAAGTGGATTAAGGTCAGCAGGGGGTCGCCTGTGAAGAGTGCGGGGCACAAAAATTGAGGGCGGGTCTGCTCTGAGGTGGGCGAAGTCAGACGAAGAATTTGTAAAACAGCTCAAGAGTACTTCAGACACCGGAGAAAAGTAGAGTACAGAACAAAAGGCGGATATCAGTTGAGTCTAGAAATATGTGAGAGAAGGTACGCGCGGCGAAGCCGCGCCCGCCCGGCGCAGCCGGGCCGTATCAGAAGGAGCCGCGCCGGCGTCAGCCGGCGAGGCGACTGGTATGTATTATAATGCTTTTCGTCATTTCCGCAGATTCCGCATTTCTTCATTTCTGCAGTTTCCGCATTTTTGCATTTCTTCACGGTCGCAAGCTGTGAACGCAGCATATTAGCATATTCGCCCGGGAGGATAAAACAGTGACTTGTACGTCGCCTGGCCACGAAGTGATCCTATAGGCCGCATTGCATTGACTAAACCCCTACGATGCTGAAAGGATGTAGAAGGCATGCTGCATCCCAAAAAGTTATTGATCATGGCGAATTCTTCATCCACAAAGAGTCTGGTTGTGGAGGAATTTGATTCGTATCAAAGATACAATCCGCAATTGCCCGATGATTGGTTGTTCGGTAGAATCACTTCCTTGTACAGGTATTCCTGCCGACAATCTCGAAGGATGTCCCGCTTTCGCGCCACTCATAGTGAATGATGAGGACGCTGCGGCCATCATAAGTCAGAGGTACCGCACTCGAGTGGGAAGGAAAGATGCCTGCGCTATATCGATAAAGTCATGAGTTGCGTTCATTCTCTTTGAGGACCCACTTGTGGCCTCGAGCGTCTTCCTACTCATCTTTCTATTCACTAATGGTTTGTCTCTAGTCTCTCGCTCGCGCAGCAATAACGTGGCTCTTACAGTACTGATCCTCCTACCTTATTTAAGGCTTCGTTGACGATTTATCCGCTCTTTTCCTGGTTCTTAGGTCGATTAGCACCTAGGAGTTTATAATAAGGCCCCAAAGTCCACAAATTGTAGTTGCGAAATATGTCCTTGAGAAGGTGTTTGTCGATAGTGCTCACCTCACGCACCTATTGTGGAATGGTGGAGGCTTTGATGCGCAGTATAGCAGTCTAATGTGTTGCCAGTAGAGCAGGCTATCAATTTTTTGCACCATCCCACAAAGTTTCGTCCACTAGGTCGGTCGCTGGAAGCAACGACCTACTGTAGATGAGACGCGCATCTTAACACGTTCGCAGCGGCGCCGTTTCGCCAAAAACTTCCGTTTGTCGAGCGTTCGCGGCGGGCGACACTCAGGCAATCGTCCCGTTTATGGTTAAGCGCGCTCGCAACGAATACAACTTCGCCAAAAACCACGTGATTCGTTTTTTGTCCATTCTTTTTACACTTTTTCCCCTCTGCAAGGTTTATCTCATTTCTGGTGAAAGAACCAGGTATCTTGCCCTTTTTGAAGTTGAGTAAACAAAAGTAAACACGATTTGTTCCTCTTGTAAAAACCACTACTGCCTCCTCCTGCTTCCAAAAATGCACAAGAAATGTTTTCA